CGAGTAATGAGTTGTTGATTGAGCCCTTAGAAGGGGCGCGAACTTGCGTTAACGGGTCGGTCATCACTGAGAGGACAGCCCTAAAACACGGCGACCGTATACTGTGGGGCAATAATCACTTCTTTAGACTCAACTGTCCTAAGCTGACAGACAGTCAACAAACGGATAGACCGATGGGTTATGAGTTCGCCAGAGAGGAACTAATGATGAATGAGATGGTGAACGACCCCATCCAGGGAGCCATGAAAGCGCTTGAATTGCAGCACAAAATGGATAAATACAATGCACTCGAGGAACAGAAACAGATGTATGAGAAGCAGCTGAAAAAGTTGGCCAGTTTTCTGTCGCCCGGCGCTCCTTACGCCCCATACAGTTATAACAATGTGTTCGACCCGTACGAGCAAAATAGGTTCGACGGCTCCACACCCAACCCCATGAGTGCTAATGAAGTGGCCCTTAAGATGGAAAGGGATGAAGTGTTTAAGAAAAGTATGAGTCGTTTACGCGAAGACATAGTTAGGGCCAACACTCTGTCCTATGAGGCGAATCTGATCGCCGATGAGATGCAAAAGTGCACCGAATTTAAAGTGACTCTTCAGATACCGGTCGCCAATCTGAGTCCTAACACCAAGAGAGGGTCGTTTGTGTCTGCGCCGGCATTTCTGGTCAAACGCAAGAACAAAGTGTCGCAGATCTGGTCGATGGAGAAGTTTGAGACAAAGTTGATTGAAATGCGAGAACTTTATGAGGAATGGAAGGAAAGGCAGTCGAAGACCGATAGCACCGATCAATATACCGATGACTCGTCTCCTTTGAACGATCCCTTCTATGAGCTCCAGGAGAACCACCACTTGATAGGCGTCGCCAATGTATTCCTCGAAGTGCTGACGCGGGACGTGATGCTCGACTACAACGTCCCCATTATATCACAACAGGGAGAGGTCGCCGGACGCCTACATATAGAGTTCGGTCGCGTTTCGGGTCATATCGGCGAACGAATAGCCGACGCCTCGATGGGGACGACGAGTCAGTGCGGCGGCGGTTATGCCGACAGCGCCGACACCGACGTCCAGAATGGCAACGAAATCGTGGTTCGCGTGAACATTAAGAGCGCGCGCGGACTCCCGATATCGCTCTCGAACTTTGTGTTCTGCCACTACTCCCTGTTTAGATGCCAGGAGTCAACAATCGTGACCTCGTATGTGGACACTGAGGTATGATTAGTAAAGACCCATTAAAATTACGTCTATTTTATCGAAACTCCCACTCATTACTTTGCAATATTTCTATAATCTTTAAAGATTTGCAAAAAATACTAAAAGTTAAGCTCTATTTATTACTAACGTGAACTAGTAGCGCACTCTGTTGCATAATTTCTAAATGTAACCAATGGGACTTGTAGTCAATTATGTCGAGTGAGAGTTCCAATGAATTAGCCGTAATTTTAATAGACTTTTTCTCCCCGACGCGCCCCAATAAAGAAAAGAGCTAATTATATATTTAATTATTATTAAATATTATATGTTATTAATTTTAACAAAGTATTTAATGTAGTTTAAAGTAAAATCAGTTAATAATTTACTAATTATAATTGTAATCACATTTTAATAGCTCTCTCCCCCCCAATTTTGTAGTCCTGAATGGGAGAGGGTGCTATTAAAATGTGTTTGTGACTAAAATTAGTAAATTATTAACTGATTTAGTTATAGTACATTTAAATATGTTAATAATAATTTAATATATAACTAACTCGCTCTCTCGCACAAATCGGGGCGCGTCGGGGCGAAAAAGTCAATCCCTTTACTAATCACTCACTTAGGATCACTCGAACCCTATTCGTGGCACTACTGAAGAGACGGAGGAATTTGTTTTCTATTTTAATCATCAAAAAGATATTGCAATCGATTTAAGCGAAGAATTTTTGGACCATTGCACTGAAGGGGCGCTCTCTATAGAGGTGTGGGGCCATCGGGTGTCCGGATTTAGTCCACCAAAGCCCGGGTGGGGTGTCGCCGACCCACAGCTCAAGACGTGCCGCTCGCTGGCCGACCGGTGGGCCGAACTGAAGCGTAAAATTGAATTATGGGTTGAAATACACGAAATCAATGAATACGGGGAATACAGTGCCGTCGAAGTGAATATTAGGGCTGATATCGAGTCGGGAGGTGTCTATCAACTAAGGCATGGCCAACACAGGCGTATAGCCGT